AACAAATATATGTGTTAAGTGCAATGATTACTTGTTTTAAATGCTTCGTAATACAGCTTCTTTTAAAACTATAAGAAATTTCTCACAATTATGTGATAATTCAGCAAAATTCTGACAGTGTTATTCATAAGATAATAGCTCATAACTAAGATTTTTTATGTATATGAATACAGTAATAATAATAGTATTCTTGATGTTTACAGTATTGTACTTTTATGGTATCTCCATACTGTGATATTAGTTTACAAACCACATAAACATGGCAGATTAGTCAACACAAATAAACTTAATCTGATTATGACAGTTGTTGCTTTCCTGAGCCAAGACACGACCACACATTTAGTGCCTTCAGGATCTTCTCAGTTTTAATTTGATTTATTTTATGTAACATTTAAGCAAAGCTTCTCCCCTGTTTGTTAATACAGAATAGTACCCACCACATTAGTTTATAATCTAGATTTCAAAATCATTTCCCGGACAGCTGTGATCAGAGGTCAGTGTTACAAAACACCAAACACAGGCAGACCAAAGGTGACACCCTAGAAACTGTGGTGAAATTTAGCAAGAAAAAAAAGTACCTATATGAGATACAGTTTGTCTCTGAGCTCCATGTTAGTCTTAGATTGTGATCTGCTGGATCCTCATCAAGGTCAAGGTCAAAGTGTTTATTTGTCATATGCACATTTTTGGTGGGGACATGACAGTGGTGCAGTGGGTAGAGCAGTCATCTCCCCACCAGAAGGTTCAAGGTTCAAATCTCAGTGCCTGCAGTCCACATGTTGAAGTGTCCTTGGGCAAGACACTGAACCCCCCCCAATGGTTAGAGCCATCAGTTGAGTTAGCACCGCAGATGGCTGCCTCGATTGTGTACCGGAAACAAATTCCTTGTGTGTAACATACTTGGCCAATAAAGGTGATTATCCTTATCCTTGAAACGTGTTTCCCTGTACAATGAAATTCTTAACTTTGCCGTCCACATGAATGCCACATAATACAAGTGAAATATAAAGTAGATAAGATCATGTACTCTATCACTTTATTCAGTCCTAATATTTCAAGTAATGTCTGAGCCTTGTATTGTTTAGATATTTATATCTTCAAAAACCTTCTAATATTAACATGCTCTATGAACATCAGCTTGGAAATACTTGTGTAAAATACTGTCAGTTGTTTCAAGTTCAGATGCATTTACTGTATTTGTAAAAACATTCAAATGTATTCAAATTGGTTGGTATAAATTTGTAGATTGGACAATGTGACAAGGTCAAATTTTACTTGTACACCTTTACACACACACACACAGACACACACACACAGATCTTGTTTGTATTTGTCAATGAAATACACACTTGTCGCTAATATTCTGTAATATTTCTGGGTGGCTCTGGGAGATCCTCCTGAGCAGACAGCATGGCTGAGGAAGGCAGAATCACGGCTCCTCTGCTCTCAGCTACACACAACATCCCTCGACTGCAAACCCCTCTGAAACATCCTTGCTGCTCAGCAGGGAGCTGTTTAGGAGGGGGTCAGGCAATGGTTCAGCTCTCTCCTATGTAGGTCATAGGGCAACTTACATAATATCTCAATAATCAAAAGAAATGCAAATCAGGATAAACAGTAAAAGACAAAAAAAAAATGTTATCTACTTAATAAAACACTGCTGTCCTGGCCAGCCTTCCCTAGGTGAGCCATCTGGAGCTCCCTGATGCTGACATTGTTTTGGTGGTGATGGCTCGGGGTGGATACAGAACCAGTACCCTACTAAACTTTGCTTGTTTAGATCCCGAGACCCCACCTTGCTGTCCTTATTTATTTATTTTTGTCTGTTTCCTTCTTACTTTATGCCAAACCGAATTGAGTTGAATCCACTCGTGCAACACTCTCATGTACAAACCACATGTAACACCTCCCCATGTTTTGTCTTGTAAATGTCTCATATCCAGTGTGTCCTGTCCTGTTTTGTGCAGCAATTAAAAAGAATGCTGTTTTAATGTGAGCCCCAGTGCCACAAGGTCTCATAGAACATCAAAAACTGGCAGAACCAACCCACAATGAGGACCCTAAATCTCCAGAGCTCATTATTGATTTATCCTTCCACTTTCTGCTTTACCAGTCTCATCATGTCCTCACAAATTGATGAGGAAGCTCTCTTAGCAATTTCCTCCTGAGATTTTCTTGTTTACCTTCTGTCCTGTCACGCTACATCTTCCTTCATCCTTGACAGTCCTCTCACACCATATACAATCCATCTACTCCCAGTCAATAAACTGAAAACAACTGAGCTGAAGGAGGATGTAATAAAATGTGATGTACAAGCGCGTTGCTGATATAACGAAATTCAGTTATCTGGTTTAGCTGAAGAAAACATTAACTACGACATCTTGAGATACAGCTTTCATTTTGTTCTGTTCCCTTTTAATGTGATGCCTCAGATGTTTCCGTTTTCTCCAAATCCAGCCAGAGGCTGTAAACGTAGCTACTTAGTCATCCACTGTGCAGACTGAGCAGTGCTGGCAACGTACTCTTTACTCTTTGTTATTTATTTTTAGTCAGATAGATATTGGATAGATACTTTATGTATTAGAAATGTTTAGTGGAGATAGGATGTCTAGTTAGACTGTTAAATGCTTAATAGGCCTGGTGGGTTCAGGGTCTTTCATCTTACATCTGCCTGTGAGCAGTTTGGAGGTGCAAGATACCTGAGCATGTAATGTTAATTTTTTACCTGTGATCCTTTGAATAAATCAGCACTGTTTTGTAGTTACTTGGACTGTCTCATCTCTCAGAGTCAGTATGGTAAAAACTACCGGGTACAACATCTTCATTTATAGTACCGAGCATCCCCTACAGACCTGATCTGCCAGTGCAGCTGAAGAATAATGACTGGAGTTTCAGCACTTAGACTGCAGCCAGGATGCCCAGTGCTGCAAAAGCCTTGCAACCAGACTGTGTTTTCTGTCAAAGACTGTGAAAGGAACACATGACAGAGGGGACACTTTCCACTGCAGCACATTCATATATCCAAAGTTCATTCTGACCTTAGAGCACAAATCTGTCAGCTAAAGTTCACTGAGATGGTGAGGGCATTTTAGCGTTTAAACCCCTTTTCTCCAGCAATCTTTGAGCAGCAGAATGGGAAAATCTGTGAGATTTGGCTGCGGGCCCCCGAGAAGTGAGGTTCATTTATTCCCATTAGTTGCGAGCAGATGTAAAGACAGTCACACAGCTTTTCACAAGTGTGCTGATCCCTCTGGCCGTGTGATGTGACTGACGAGTAAACCAAAACAGCTGAACGATGCTAAAATGATTTGTAAAGCTGAAGGGTGACTGCAGAGATGGGCCATAATTGTTAGGGTGCTTGACACTTTTACCTTTCACATATACGTTGTCAGGGGATTGACTGTAAATGAAATGGTGATTATAGCATCCTTAAATGAGCGTACATAATAAAAAGGCTTATATTACTGGGCACTTGCCAATGTCTCAGAATTTTAGAACCTACAAAATAAATTTTAGCTTGCTACTATGAACATGCATTGAAGTTGAGTAAAATGCAGTATTACCTGTGAGCAATATGTCACTTTCTTGTGTGAACCTGAAAACTGAGAAGGGGAGGTGTGAACGCAAACAAAAGATCAGAGTGGGGGTAATTTGCTTGATCACTGCTTCCTACACGGCCACAGGCTCTTTTACAACTTTCTTGTACTTTACTATTTCTGTTTTCTATTTCTAAGAATATTTCCAGTACGACTGCTGCAGGGGGAATCTGTGGCCTTAAAGAAACTCCAGTTGGGCTGACTGAAGTAAAGCACAAAGGTGAATCCCAAGTCCCCTCATTTGCATCTTTTCCTTGCTTTTTCCTCTTAGTGCCACCCACGTAAGATGCGACAGGAATCAAGAAAACACATTTAACTGACCAGAGCTGTCCTTTCCCTGATCCTTCATGTGAAATGTCCAGTTGCAAACTGATTTCTGAGAAAGGAGATGTGTCAATCCATTTTGTAAAGGGTGACTGCAGAGATGGGCCATAATTGTTAGTGGGCTTGACACTTTTAGCGGCACCTTTCACATATACAGATCCTTGGTTATAGCTCCTCCGGGCAGCCTCCTCGCTTCTCACTGCTCAGAGCAGACATGAGAGCTTTGGGGCCTCCTTCAACATGGTGGACCAGCACGATTTCCGGGTCAAGTGAGAATTGAGGACAGATAAAATAAAGGAATTGGGATTCACCTCTAGAGTGAAAATATAACTCTGCACACGAAGGCCCCGCCCCACACCTCTTCTTCTGAGGCAGCGACGTGATCAAAAAAAAACATACGTTACATAAATTTATCTCACATATAGTTACTACTACTTGCTTGTACTGATGGATTCTTCTATTGCTTGTTGGCTGAGACCATTTTTCCTCGTCACCGTGTGCAATTATTTAAATGCCCTCTGGTCACAGTTAGATTAACCTTAATGTTCAGTGGCCCGTTGCCTGCAAGTTATCCCATCAAGTGCATACAGCACACTGTAGATGACAACTTCATTAGGATTTACAGAGGCCCAGAAACCAACCAGTACTCTGAGTGCAGTACTACATGGCCCCAGGTTTTCTGTCATTTAGTTTGAGGTTCGATGAAACAACTTCATTTAAAAAGTTATGAGCACAGTATGAACTAGATGTTGACAGGAATCCTACAAGAACATGTGATGTACTTTTACGTATTCCTGCT